GAAAAGTCTGCAAACCGTATAACTCCGTCCTCGGCGAGCATTTCCGTTCCCACTGGGACGTGATCCCAGTCACTTACGACGACATTACGCGCGTGCCCACGCTTCACGAACACGTCGACCACGTCCCACCAGCCACCCTTCTCCCCATTGCAACCGCAAGCACGCCCCGCATCCCGCGCTCCGAGGCCCCGAGCATCAAGGGCGGCAAGGAAGGCGTCCCGCCGGGACAAACCGGACGCTTCGGAAGCCTCCTTTCCATGAAAGGATGGTCCTCTCCCGCCGTGGACCACACGGACTCGACCCCGACGCTCTCGACGGCCGTCTCGGAGCTCAGCCTCTCGTCGACATCCGAGTCGACGACGCCCTCCACGCCCGCGCCCGCGCGCATACGCGTCGCGTTCCTGACGGAGCAGGTCTCGCACCACCCGCCAATCTCCGCGTTCGTCGCGACGTGCCCCGCGCGCAGCGTGCGGCTGTCGGGCATCGACCAGATCGTGGCGAAGGTGACGAGCACCGCGAGCGTGCGCATCGGGCCGGGCGCGGCGAACAAGGGCCTGTTCGTGGACATCGGCGGGGGATTCGGCGCGGGCGAGCAGTACCAGATCACGCACCCCGTCGCGCATGTGAACGGCGTGCTGCGCGGGAGCTTCTACGTCACGGTCGGCGAGTGCACTATCGTGACGTGCGCGGGCGGGAAGGGGCGCGGGGGGGAGTGGCTGCGCGCGATCATCGAGTACAAGGAGGAGGTGCGTCGCTTATGCATGGGTTCCGGGGACGGCGCGCTGACACCGCGGGCGCGCAGAGCTGGCTGGGCAAGCCGCACTTCTTGGTTGAGGGCGTTATCCATGGGTACACCCCCGGTGCGACGGAACACGAAGAATGGACGCGCGTGAAGCACGTCCCCAAGGCGCGCGCGCTCGTCTACCTCGAGGGCACGTGGCGTGGCGCCGTGCGCTATCGGCACGCGTTCCCGTCCGCGGCGCCGTCGCCCGCCTCGTCGTCCTCGTCGATTGCGCGCGGGGCCACTGGCACCGGCGCGGGCGCGGGCACGGGCACGGAGTGGCGCGTGCTGGTCGATCTCAGCACGCTGCATGTCGTGCCGAAGGCGGTGCGCAAGCTCGAGAAGCAGCTGCCGGACGAGAGCCGGAAGCTGTGGGAGACGGTCACGGACGGGCTGCTCAAGAAGGAGTACAGCGAGGCGACGCGGGAGAAGCAGCGGATCGAGCAGCGGCAGCGGGACGTCGCGGCGGAGCGCAAGCGGAAGGGCGTGGAGTGCGTGGTTTTTTCTTTTCGTCGCGGACCAGTTGATCTGACGCCCCGCGTGGTGTGTAGGTTCATACCCCGGTACTTTGAGAACGACATCGCGTCAGGCGTGCCGAAGCTGACGCCTGCGGGGCAGGCAGCTCTTGACGAGGAGCTGGCAGAGGATGAGGCGGACTGCACGCCGTGAGGCGTGCGTGCTTAGACGGGTGGCAGCATATATATTGGTTCGGTATGTAATATACTCTAGCGTTCGGACTATAAGTATGCATCTTTCTGTCGCATCGGTGCTGCGACCTCGCACGAATATCTTATTAGGAGGCGACCATTCTACAATGTGCAAGTTCTATGGAGACGTAGTAACGAAACACGAAAATCCATCGTCGGAGAGCCGAGCGTGGGGAGTAGCGAAGATCATGCGAGGATATCGAGAAGGAAACAAGTGAAGTCATGGTAGCCAGGTGAATGCTGGGTTCCCGTGGTTGGCCAGGAACATGTGTGCGTAGTTCGGCGCGAGCGGCGGGTCGTTGGGGTAGGGTAGTGGGCCCGGGAGAGTATACGCCGGGAGCGCGGGTTCTGGCGATGATGGTGGTGCCAGCGGGAGCGCGTCGTCTATCTCAGAGTCCGAAGAGTCCGATGGCTCCTCTGTCTGAGCATACGGGGAATGCGGTGCTGCAATGCGATAGCCAAGAGGGTATGTCCGGATCCTCACTGCGCCCGGGAGGGAGAGATGCGTTGCCTCTGCTTGGTAGAGAATGCGCACGCGTGAGGAGAAGCGTACTTGACGCCTGTCTACTCTCTAGTAGAGGATCGGCAATCAGCCATGCGCCAGGCGCGCGCAGAGAGTGGCGACATACCTGGACATTGCCGTCACGACCAACGCGCCCCTCGAGTATGCGTACTTTCGGAGGACTCGGAAGGGCGTCAAGCTGGCAATGACCGAGGTGAGTGGATGCCACAGATGAGACTTCACTGTGACTAAAGAACTCACGGATTCAGATGGCGAGGGCAGCTTCCTCTTCCGGCTGGCAGTAAGCCTCTGCGCGTCAAATTTCCGCGGAGGAGCATCGTCTTCGGGGACAGGTGTAGGCGCGCGGCGTGTGCGCGGAGGCGAGCGTTGGAGAGGCGACTGCAGGCTGCGACTCGCATACGGGTGCGCGGCGCCACACGCGTAGCCGATGGCCGCCGCAGCGAAGGTGGTGAGCCCGAACAGGATGTTCGCGTCGGATATGCAATAGATATTCATCTTGGTGTTCGTCTGCAGTATGTTGTGGGGGCGGTTTGGGAAAAGTAAGCGCATCGGGCTCCTCGTTGGCTACCTTATACCTAGCGTAAAAGCGCGCAGCCGCGTCCAAGCGGGTGCCCATGACTGGGTGCCACAACAGACAGATCTAAGCGACTTCGGCGGGCCTTGTGGCCTATTTGAGACAAGAGCTGGGGCTTGCACCGCATTCTGTCCTGCAGGCAAGCAGTAGTGGGAATACAATAGGCTGGCGTGGTGGCGGCAGCGCAGAGCCGAGGGGACGGCGCTTGTCCGAAAACAAGGGCACAGCACACAAGTCATGGTCGCCGGGTTCAGTATAGGTGGTGTTGCCATGGTTTGGTAGAAACGAGGGCGGCCTACAGATAGGCCTACAGAGGGGACAGCCTAGACGCTGGTCCATGATAGCTCGAAGCCTTTGGGCGCTTGAGGGTGCCAGAGTATCACGAGGACCGTCGTACACAGGAGATGCAAGTGGACCTAACTGGACACGACAGGAACGGCCCCGGATGTAGTCTAAATGTGTACAGGAAGCCCTCCAGACGCTTCGTGGCGCCGGGTACGTGCGATAACCGCAACAGAAAGTATGGTGGCGGCCATCGGAGAATATGGGTCGGAGTCGTGATCCTTGTAGATCGATGAAAAAACTTGAGCGGGGTTATTTTGTTGGATAGAGTTGGTCCCACGGTTGAAAGGCGATGTACGTGTAGCCGAACGAAAGTCACTGAGCACATATCTCAGAGATAGATGATTATCGTTGTACCCGTGGACCAGAACAATCACGGTGAGACCTTATCTCAGAAAACTAGGTTATGGGAGAGGCACGCCGTTCGGTGGGAAGAAGAAAGTCGTAGGGCGAGGATTGCAAATTGAATGAATTGAACGCAGGACGGAGAAAATGTAGACACAATAACACTCAGCGGGGAGGGGTCACAGGAGCAGAGCCATAGATATTCAAGCTCCAAGATATAGTGGTAGATTTGACAGCACTTGACGTCGTCGGGTATAGGGCAATCAGGATAAGACCCGTCGAATACCCTCAGTCAGTCAAGCGCGGCGGCGCGGCGCCACCGCATTCTCAAGACACACCTGGTGTTCGACAGCTGGAGGGTGCGAAGAAGACTACGCTTAGATAGAGATGAGCAACGAGTAAGTGGGCCACGGAGTTCAGTAACCATAGTATGGCCGGGGAACGTGGACATAGAGGGGCGAGCGCATGCGAGGGCTCGGCGGACGTCCGAAAGGCGCGAGTGAAGGACCAGAAAGCGTGTACATGGGCTCACTGTCGTCCACAGATGTTGAATACAAGCTATTAGGAGAGTATGACGGAGATGGCGGGTTCCACGTTGGGCTTTCGGGCTGCAGGGGACTCGGATAGAGCGTCGGAGTGGGGAAGTCGAAGTGCGGGGGCGTGTACCTCGCGAACAAGAGTTCAGGTGTAGGCAGAGGGGAAAATGAAGGAGGGAAGAGAGCAGGTGGTCGGGGTGCCTGTACGGGTCGGGAAGGAAGCGACAGCTCGAAAGCGAAGAGGTCCCGGATCGGAGGGAGGTCATAGCGGCGGTCGCGCGATTCAAGTGCTAGAGGCTGCTTCTGGAAAGCGAGTTAGCAGTGACATGCAGATACAATGTCTGTGAGGCGCACTTTTCCGAGATAGACAGAGCCACAACTCTGGTGTTGGGGAGCGTTTGGTGGTCGTGGAGGGAGCGTTGCAGGCGGGACGCTGTGGCGAGGGCTGGGGCTCGAGGGTTGGATCGGCAGCGGGCCAGATGTGAGGAGCTGGTCCAAGACGGGCCTGACGGGGTGAAGGAACGCCCCGCATGCGTACCCAGCAACAGCGGAGGCCAGCAGGACCGCGAGACCCAAGAGAGTGAAGTCGGAGACACAGTACAGGTGCATTTCTTCTAGTAAGGCGATGATTGGGCGATGTCGATGAGGTATGGATTGAGTTTAGATGAGGAAGACTTGAGCGATGAAGGGATCAAGTTGCAGGCGGAGGTGTGTTTGAAAGTCAGAGGCGCACTTGGATTCTGTATTTATACTACTCGATGGCCCAGTGCACAGGATGGATGTGACGGCCCACGCAGCCTACGCTCGCTTTGACTCCGACTGAAGTCGGCGGTCGCGCTTGTACATTCCCTTCACTACGACGGGCCTCTGGACAACACCGTCAACAAGTCCTCATGTAGTAGATTTTTGACTTTGATCTGTGCAACATCAAGTATTGTCAGAATACCAAAGGAAAAGAGGATAAGATAATAAGTGTGATACCTTGTCCTGGACCGCGTCTCATCATGATCCATTACTAGTATATGTAATCGCCAACAGTTACTCACGAAGACCTCTGAGGGAGGGATTGCTGAAGGCCGGTAATTTTCCAATCTCGCAGAGTGAGGAAGAGAGAAAGACAAAAATGTGTACTTCATGCCTATGACCGTCCAGGCTATCAGCAAGTATAAAAAGATTCAAGTCATACGTCCGAAGGTCTTACCAGGGTTCGAACCTGGGTCACGAGGAAGATCATGAAATCAAAACCTCGTGTGCTAAACCACTACACTATAAGACCATGCTTCCATCCTCAAGTCAAAAATATATTAGATTGTTGGAGTACAATGTCGCGTTCCAGGAATTCTGCATTCGTTTGAAGGCACAGTCAAGTCCATAGCCAGCTCAGAATGCGTAACTGGGCACTTTAGCCTTGACTCGCAACCAAGCATCCTCAAGCGCCTCGACTATCTCCTGAGGCAACGGCCCTTTCGCACTGGTAAACGTCAAGCACCAGCAGTCAGCCCCAATGTCCCATCGCCGATACCGGTACACTCACTGATCTGTCAGCGCCCTCTCAATTGACTCTGGCTTGCTGCCGCCGTAGATCGCGCCCACGTCCGAAGGGCGCATCTGGCTATGGTGCACGATCCATCGTACGGCAATTTCGTTCAGCTGCAGGCCGTGCTTCTCCTGCCATACGGCGTATGGGTCAGATACGAATGGCAAAAAGGGCCTGCGCGTGGGGGAGGGAGGTGCTTACGCCGAGAGTCTTGAGCTCACGAAGCACGGGTACGGAATGCGCGTAGCGCGGGATATAGTGCTGGCTGAACGGCGACGCCGGGTTGAAGCGTGCGTTGCCGGCGAGCCCTACCCCGTCAGGCTCGTCGAGGTGTGCGTTCGTCAGGAAACCGCCACTGTTGGATGCAATAACCAAGATGTGAGCTAGCGAGGGGCAAAAGCACTCACGCGAGAGGCGAGTACGCGGCGAAGCGAATGTTGAACTTGCGCAGGCACGGGAACAGCCTGGACGCATGTCAGATGTGGGGACGCAACTCGGATGGCACTGAAGAAGCTCGCATACTCGTCTTCGTTGACTCTGTCGATGCAGTTGTATATGCCCTCGTAAATGGTGGGCAATACGTATCCCTTCAGGCGACAAATCGCGACGATCTCGGATACCTTCGCGATCGTCAGCGTGCGGTGAAGTGGTCAACCAATATCACGGTACCTCCCACGAGAGATAGTTGCTCAGGCCAAGACTCTCACTATGGCAGATTAGGAGGGCGTTTGCGGCAAGGAGTTGAAAGACTCACAAGACGCCTTCCTTGTACAAGTCGTTGACAGCGCCCAAGGTGTCTTCGACCGGGACAGACCTGTCAGGAGCATGCAGATACAGGGTCCTGATCTTGACGCCATTCAAAGCTTTCACAGATTCTTGCGCGAGCTCCTTGAATTTCTTTGGCGCAAAATAGCCTGGCTCAACTGGGTAGATCCTGTGTCGACACAGAGTTAGCTCCACTATACAATGTGCAACCGGAATCAACGTTACTTTGTGTCCACGCGAGCGCCCTTCAGGTCGACTAGAGAAAGAACCTTTCAAAAATGAAAGGAATGTTCAGGTATCAGTACGCGGAGTGGGTGCAAATTCACATACGACTTCCGATGCGCCCGAACCGTAAATTCGGGAGGTATCGATTCCATAGTATCCGTGCTTGACGAGGATATCGATGAATTGTTGAGCCTTCGCAGGTTCGTTGATTGTGGCAAAGCCATTGGAGGAGCCAAAAGTACCGGCTCCCTATGCACAAGAAGGCATTTGACGCCGACAATACAGGACTATACGAGGCCGACTTACGAGGAGGGCTGGGACACGTGAATCTGTCATGACGGAGTGGTGAGGCGTTGAATCAATAGGACCTGCGGGGACACAATATAGAAGACAATCGGTGCGTGAGCCCCTTTAAATGTCGAGAAAGCTGCTGGTGTCCGCGTCAACGGTCTTAGAATACACGGACGTGCGGGGGCCGTGAATTGATCCCGTCTCGCTTGGCTGCTTGTGAGTCAGCAAAGAGAGAGGGCTGACTGATCTTTCGGATTTGTCGGGGTAAGTATTCTGAAGTGAGTACGACAGTTGCATCACAAACAGCTTGCCCAGCGCTACTCACAGGTGTATCGCGAGCGATCCAATCTCCGACGTCCGAAGGGACATCGGATAGTGGCATGCGCTTGTCCGAAAGACGTCTTGTGCAGTCGCTTGACCATGGAGGTATTAATTCTTCCTTGATTCTTCCCAAGAGTCTCGTCATGCTGCTCAGGTGAAACGAGGTGACGCGATTTAAAGAACGTAACAGCTGACCAAGCCGGAGAATGCCGAGAACAAGAGCGTCATGCTACGTTCGAGCATGCCTGCAATTTGTGCAAAAGCCTTCGAACTGGAAATGCGACTGAATTGCAGATGGGATACGATCCATGCAGATGCCACCCTCTTCCACTGCATGATTTACGAGTGCGCATAGTTCGGAACCTTTGCCTTCACCCGTAGCCAAGCATCCTCAAGCGCGTTGACGATCTCCTCGGGCAACGGATCCTTCGCACTAGTAAGTAGCAAACGCCAGAAGTAAGCAAAGTACCAGCAACCCACGAACAATACTGTGCACTCACTGATGGGTCAACGCCCTGTCAATCGACTCAGGCTTGCTGCCGCCGTAGATCACGCCGACATCCGTCGCACGCATCTGGCTATGGTGCGCAATCCACCTCGCCGCAATCTCGTTCAACTCCATGCCGTGCTTCTCCTGAACATAATTGGTGCATTAGGACTTACTTGAAAAGATGAATGTGAGGGAAAAGTGCTTACACCGAGGGTCTTGAGCTCGCGTAGAACAGGCACAGAGTGCGCGTAACGCGGGATGTAGTAGCTACTGAACCAGATCGCGGGGTTGAAGCGTACGTTGCTCGCGATCGCGGCTCCGGAAGGGTCGTCGAGGTGTGCGTTGGACAGGAAGCCGCCTCTGCATGGGGTGAGCGTTGCGGCGGAAGGTGAGGACGACAGTACTTACGCGAGCGGCGAGTAGGCCGCGAACCTGATGTTGTACTTGCGGAGGCAGGGGAATAGCCTGATTGAACGCGTCAATGATAAGACGTGGGAGACAGGAAGACCGCTTACTCGTCTTCGGCGACTCTGTCAATGCAATTGTATATTCCCTGATAGACGGTGGGCGGGACGTATCCCTTCAACCGGCAGATTGCAACGATTTCGGATACCTTCTCGTGCAGATAGAAGTCAGCCATCACTCCACAGGTAGGATCATTTCTGATATTACCTCCCACGAGTAATAGTTGCTTAGACCAAAGCTCTCGCTGCGAGATGAGAAGGCGTTGAGGCATTCCGACACCGAGAGCTGCAGGACTCACAATATACCTTCTTTGTACAGGTCGTTGACGGCGCCCAGCGTGTCTTCCACTGGGACAGACCTATCGGGAGCGTGCAGATACAGAGTTCGGATTTTCACGCCATTCAAAGCCTTCACTGATTCCTGCACAAGCTCTTTGAACTTCTCCGGTGCGAAGTAGCCCGGCTGGGCCGGGTAGATCCTATTACATTGACAGAGTGTCAGACGTGATGTGCACTATGGCACCGATAATAAAAGCTGTGTACTTAGTGTCCACCCTCGCGTCTTTCAGATCGACCTGGGACAGCATCTTAAAGTGCACGACAGTCAGTAACCGTTGGTAATGTCGAGAACGACAACTAACCACTTCGGACTGCCCCGACCCGTATGTGCGAGCAGTGTCGACTCCGTGATGTCCGTGCTTGAGCAGGACATCGATGAATGGCTGGACTTTGAAGGGCTCGTCGGTCGCTGGGGAAGCGCCGAACCCACCTGCGCCCTGCCAAAGGAGTTGTGAGGGTCGATAGAGAGATACAAAAGTTCGAACTTACGAGGAGCGCTGGGACACGTGAGTCTGTCATGACGAAGTAGCGTGACGTTGTCCTATGAATTAGGGGGAAAGAACGTCCTGGAGGACGCAAACGCGTGAGTGCTTTTTAAGTGAGTTCGGGATCCTCGAAATTGGTAATGAAAAGAAGATCCTTGAGTGTGAGCGATGTGGTAATCCAATGGAGATCCGTGCAAGGACAAAATTAGTTCAAATGTGAGAATTTTATCCTTGGAAAGCTATGTCAACAGCGGGAGCCAGCGACATCGACGGGATCCCTCATCCAAGTCGAGCTCTTCCCGCCATTATTCCGTCCAAGGCAACTCCAGGTGTACACATTATCCTCAAAATGATGGCTTCAGGGAGCCGACCCTACCGTGGTGATAGGAAGTGATAGAACAAGTCTTGGCCGACTCGGATCGTGGGTACGGTGAACTGCCCGAGACCACGCCTTGCACCTCGTGATAAGAGCAGGCGCTCCAACTGGCGACAGCACCGACGAATAGAATACACACGCCCCCTTGGAGAAGCAGATTCAGAGCTTCGCCGTGCGTCGAGGCCAGGTCGAGGCAGGAAGATGACAAGCGAGCATCGATCACTCGACGCCTTGCCTGATCTTTCAACATCGTCGCAAGTGCGGCATGCGCATGGTAAGCGAATCGGAGCACTCACAAGCTTATATGGGAGAGGGCTGATATACAAATCAATCGCCGGATTCTGAAGCGTTGATGTAGGTTTGATGTAACCTACTGTAGGTTCTTCTGTGCAAAGGTCAGCGATGGAGACTAGCTAGGATCTCGACAAGGAAGTTCAACGACGAGTTGAGGGTTAAATGACACGCTGCTGTAATCCGATAGATCACGGTGGGGAAAGCGAGGGATTCTGGCTTGTCTGGTGAAACCCGAAGGGGGCAATCAAGAGGAGAGGAAATCCAGGGAAGGCCTGGGAAGGACACGATAGACGCTTAGCTAAGCAGAAAAGCTTGCGCAGTCCTTGTCAGAGCAGCGCCACTCGACCCACTCAGCACTTCATCACTGCAACCACCACCACCACCGTCCTCCTCGACACCCCCCGCAACACTTTTCGTTCCTGACAACGCCTTTTCTCAGTCATGCTGGTAGACAATCCACTCCAGCAGTCTCCCTTTACATTCAATCCTAGCGAGATGTCCGAGTTCTTCAATATGGAACTCTTGGGCGGCTCGACGCTGCCGCAGGCGGGCCAGGGTTCGTCTTCCTCTGGCTCTCGTGCGTCGTCACGCTCCCCGGCGCCCTCGTTTTCTACTCTGCCCTCGCCACCGCCGTCGTTCCTCCCCACCATCTCTGAGGCGCAACCAACCGACTTCTTCAACTTCTACCT